AAGTAGGTTAGGTTTGGTTCAATTGAAATAATCTGGGGTACTAACCTCCAGGTGATTTATTTCTCATGATATATTTACTTTAACAATATTTCCACTAATAGTTATGTATTTCCGTGTTACAAAATACAGCTGTAGTTATATCCTACAGTTATTACGCCGCTTGTGTTACGTGTCTCTGATGACGAAAATTACAGTCAACAAAAAGTGAAGGACTAATAGTGAGTCTTTTTGTGATTCCATCTGCTTGACTTAATTGGGTGATTAACTCGTTGGTACCCCATAAGTATCGTTAGTATATTGTATTGAAGGAGTTAAGTGGTTGTATTGAAGGAGTTAAGTGGTTGTATTGAAGGAGTTAAGGGGTTGTATTGAAGGAGTTAAGTGGTTGTATTGAAGGAGTTAAGGGGTTGTATTGAAGGAGTTAAGGGGTTGTATTGAAGGAGTTAAGGGGTTGTATTGAAGGAGTTAAGTGGTTGTAATGAAGGAGTTAAGTGGTTGTATTGAAGGAGTTAAGGGGTTGTATTGAAGGAGTTAAGTGGTTGTATTGAAGGAGTTAAGTGTTGTAATGAAGGAGTTAAGGGGTTGTATTGAAGGAGTTAAGTGGTTGTATTGAAGGAGTTAAGGGGTTGTATTGAAGGAGTTAAGTGGTTGTATTGAAGGAGTTAAGTGGTTGTATTGAAGGAGTTAAGATTTAAGGGGTTAAGGAGTTAAGATTGAAGGTTAAGTTATTGAAGGGGTTAAGGGGTTGTATTGAAGGAGTTAAGGGAGTTGTTGTATTGAAGGAGTTAAGTGGTTGTATTGAAGGAGTTAAGGGGTTGTATTGAAGGAGTTAAGGGGTTGTATTGAAGGAGTTAAGTGGTTGTAATGAAGGAGTTAAGTGGTTGTATTGAAGGAGTTAAGGGGTTGTATTGAAGGAGTTAAGGGGTTGTATTGAAGGAGTTAAGTGGTTGTATTGAAGGAGTTAAGTGGTTGTAATGAAGGAGTTAAGGGGTTGTATTGAAGGAGTTAAGTGGTTGTATTGAAGGAGTTAAGGGGTTGTATTGAAGGAGTTAAGTGGTTGTATTGAAGGAGTTAAGTGGTTGTATTGAAGGAGTTAAGGGGTTGTATTGAAGGAGTTAAGTGGTTGTATTGAAGGAGTTAAGGGGTTGTATTGAAGGAGTTAAGTGGTTATATTCATGGAGTAAAGGTGCTCCTGAAAATCAATCCCTCACAAGCAAGAGACATTAAGAGTTTGGTCACGAAAGGCGGCAGTGTGGTCGGATTAGCTTGAGCAAGAAACACGTTGTCTCGTTCGATTGTGGTTGAATTATTTATTTATTTACTTATTCATATTTATTCATTTATTTTAATTACATGGTTGCGTACATGTATATCGTTTGAGAGAGAGAGAGAGAGAGAGAGAGAGAGAGAGAGAGAGAGAGAGAGAGAGAGAGAGAGAGAGAGAGAGAGAGAGAGATTTGCTTTAAAAGATTACAAAAACAACAATAATACAACATAAACATCGTCTTGAAGGTCACTTGAGATATATCTAATGAATTAATCAGGAGTTAACTAGCCTAAGGTGAAGGGTGTGGAGTGGTGTTAGGTATGTGAGGGGGGTGTGGTGTGTGGTGTGTGAGGGGGTGTGGTGTGTGCTGTGAAGGGTGAGGTGTTGTGTGGTGTGGTAATAATAATAATAATAATAATTAACGGTTTATCGAAAGAGCATGGCAGCCGGAAGGCTGAAAATATACATTTACATAATTGGGGAATGTGCTCTTGATTTACAAATGATGTACAAGTAACATAAGTGATACAAATATGATATATAATAATTAGGTGTTGATGATTTTTACAAAGGTTGAGACTGCGCTGTTCTTGTAGCAGTCAGGTCGTGCTCGTATGAGCTGGATGCGGTTGGGCAGGTGTGTGGCCAAGTGGCCAGGACAGTAGCTTGGGGCAATGCAGGTTTGCTCCATCTTTCAGGTTAGGTCAGGTGAAGCCGTGAGGTCAGGTCAGATCCAGCCACAATCAGTATTGCTGTGTTTTTGTGCTTTTCCTTCGAGTTGAAATTGCCACTTTTGTGTGGTGTGGTGTGTGAGGTGTGGTGTGGTGTGTGCTGTGAAGGGGGGGATGTTGTGTGGTGTGGTGTGTGAGGGGTGGTGTGTGAGGGGTGAAGGGTGTGGCGTAAAGGGAGTGGTTTGTGTTATAAAGGGCAAAAGATCTGGTATGCTGTAAGCTGGGAGACACCTACAAAAACTAGTATGTAAAACTAACTAAAAACAACCCACTATTGAAGCCACTAGGCCAGATGATGGGTGTTGTCCCCGTGTTGGAAAAGCCAGATGGTAAGCCGGGCGATACGCATTTGCTTGTGTTGCCGATGGTATTGTTTTGGTCTGGCGAAACTTTAGTGGGCCAAAGGTTCTTGAGTCTGTTCTCCACCCTCAAATCACGTACGAGAGTGTCCCTACGTACCCACGTCCGTTGTTTCTTCTCTTTGTGACCACGAGAAGTTGGTAAAGTGGAGGGACATTCTTGAAACACGACAGATATTGGTTAGGTTAGGTTAGGTAACGTAAGGTTAGCTCAGGATTTGGTTAGTTTAGGGTGTTTAATCAATCAGATGAATTAACAATGGTTCCTAACCTAACTTAATTTCTCGAACGTAACCAATATCTGGGGACACTGTTGTTAAGTGGGCCCCACACAAAGGAAAACCCAGCGTGGTCCCCTGTTTGGGCGGGAGGAGGATGAACATAAGAACATAAGAATGAAGGAAACTGCAGCGGGCCAATTGGCCCATAACGGGCAGTCCCATTTACACCCAACCCCTATCACTCCTATATCCATCCAACCCATGTTTCAAGCTATAACCCCTCGAGGACGATAGCTTAACCGGCCCTGAGGACGATGGCTTAACCCCTTCTAATAGGAAGGAAACAATAGGGAGGAACTAATAGGAAGAGTAATGCAAGACAGTGTAGAAAGTGAGAGGACAACAAATAGAAACATTCACATAACACTTCACAATTTTGTTCATTACATAGAGTCTGTAGTTACAAAGACAGACACACACACGTAATCTCTCTCTCTCTCTCTCTAAAACAAACACACTCTCTCTGCTTTCTTTACACTCCCACAGATGTTTACTCTCTCTTACACACACACAAGGGTAGAGATGAGGACGATAGTGTAGCATCCTTCACACTTTCTTTTACACCAAAACAGGATATTTAATGAATGTAACAAGCGTCTACTACTACTGTTACTATAACCACACCACCCCTACTAATAGTACTAATGATAATAATAACACTAATAATAAAAATAAGAATAATAGAAGTAATAATAATGATAATAATAATAACAATAACTTAGAAAAGGTTTTGCATGTCTCCGGCCGTGTGTTAGGGTCCTGGGTTAGGTTAGGTTAGGTTAGGGATAAAAAAAGCCACCAAACAGTTACCTACATGACTGAATGTGGGGAAAACAAGAGTATAGTTTCCTTGTGAATGTTGCCTTCTTTAATATAACATTTCCCTCAGATGAAAACAGTAGTTGGAGGGGTTAAAATGGGCGGAGTTTAGTTGGTGGGGTCAAATGGGTGGAGTTAACTCTTGCCTCCACCATGACCTTATCTCATGGAGTATTGTGGGAAAAATGCCAACTTAAGATCCCCACTGATTGACCCAAGTGAGGTCAAACGAGAGGTCAGGTTAAAAGGGAACGGGGGGAGGGCGTACGTTTATGAGAGGTCAGCAGGTTCTTGAGATACAACTAGGAGTCGCTGTAGGTCAGGTCAAGGTCATTTGTGTGTGTGTGTGTGTGTGTGTGTGGAGGTGTCGGATCCGCGTGTGGGGGTTCTTAGCGGTACCTACCACCATCTAACCTAACCTACGCGACCACAACTACCAACACACAGCAATCTTCCTACCACAACCATCATCACCCAACCAGGATGGCAGGTGAAGGGCAAGAGAAGTGGGTTTTTCTTACGCTTAAGACAGACAGACAGACACAGACAGCATTATTTTTTTTCTCATTATATTCATCTCTGAGGGAACTGAAACCTGTTTGATCCAGACATGAGAGTGGTGTGGCTTACGTGGGACTACACACACACACACACACACACACACACACACACACCTAAAGGTGATTTTTATTGGCATTATATTTGCTCAGTGTGCACTACAATGCGTATATATTCTTTGTTGTTGTTGTGTTCATACATAGTTCTTGTTTTTGTTTCAATGTCTTATGTTTTTGTTGTCTTTATTTATTGTCCTTGTTGTCGTGTGTATTTGTTTTGTTGTTGTGTCCATATTTTGTTCTTGTTATTTTCATATATTTATTTTGCTATTTTCATTTTTTTTGCTTTCATAATATATTGTTCTTGCTGTTTCCGGGTTATGTTTTGGTTATATAAAAGGGAGATGAATTAAGGCTTTTTATCGTTACCTTCAGTGGTTTATATGACCGTTATCTCCAGTGGTTTATATGGCCGTTATCTTCAGTGGTTTATATGGCCGTTATCTTCAGTGGTTTATATGGCCGTTATCTTCAGTGGTTTATATGGCCGTTATCTCCAGTGGTTTATATGGCCGTTATCTTCAGTGGTTTATATGTAAAGAGATAATCATATAAGGAATAAAACAAGTAATAATTCTGGTATAAGACAGTTTAATCAGTATATAGTGAACAAAACCTCAACTGATTATAGTTTGTAGGAAACATTTTGTGTTTGAGAGAAAGGAAGGTCCAGATCCGTATCGGTGTAAACAGGTATTATCGCGGAGGTCGTTGTCTGGTGAGTGAGGATGACTTTTAACCGTAGTAACCATGGTGATGATGATGATGGCCGTGGTGGTGGCCACCATGACCATAGGGATTATAGTGACCATGGCCAAATGAGTGTGGCCTGCCATATAATGTCCTCCAAAGTGGCCACCACCGAAAAAAAGTTGAAGCGACCTGGATCAGGACAGCGATTGGTGGAGAAGGCCAAGGACTGGCCAGAGGAGCTGTAAACAGGTATTATCGCGGAGGTCGTTGTCTGGTGAGTGAGGATGACTTTTAACCGTAGTAACCATGGTGATGATGATGATGGCCGTGGTGGTGGCCACCATGACCATAGGGATTATAGTGACCATGGCCAAATGAGTGTGGCCTGCCATAGCCATGTCCTCCAAAGTGGCCACCACCGAATCCAAAGTTGAAGCGACCTGGATCAGCGACAGCGATTGGCTGGGCGAAGGCCAAAGGACTGGCCAGAGGAGCTGGTAGAGCCATGGCCACCCCAAGCATCAGGCACATGGCCACTGCCACTAATGTCTGGGGATAAAGAAAATATTTATTTTAACAAAACCTTCGTCTAGCAGGCTGAGAGAGAGAGAGAGAGAGAGAGAGAGAGAGAGAGAGAGAGCCTTACGTATATCATGATAGGAGTATTGTGTTGTGAGGCCAACACATCACAACACAGCAATGGTTATCAAACATCACAACATAACACATACGTCATCAATAACATTGTCCAGTACCATAAACACAGAGCACTGACAGCACGGGCGATGACTAGAGCCTGGCTTTCTCTACCACCCCGTAAATGATAAATAATAACCTGTTACCTATACCACAAGTTATAATGCTCTGTCACTGAAACAGTATTGGTAATGTGAATGTTTATTGATAATGCTTCAACTACCACCAGGGTTATTAAGCAGCGTTCACTAGGTCTTAGTTTTAGGTGCTTCAACTACCACCAGGGCTATTAAGCATCGTTCACTAGGTCTTAGTTTTAGGTGCTTCAACTACCACCAGGGTTATTAAGCATCGTTCACTAGGTCTTAATTCCAGCTGCCTCAATTGGTGGGTGTCCTTTACCATTCTTGATATAATAAACGTATTCAGCAAAGATGTATTTTCTCACACATTAATATGATCTACTTCGTATATTACAATGGCTGTTCGCAACTTAAGTCCAGCCCCATAAACCACTTCACACCTTCACCCACTCCTGCCGGAATATTGTGTAGGTGTTACGAGGTCGGTCTTCTTAATACAATAAACTTGATATTGATCTAACTCACCACTTTCATGTTGATGTGCTGAGGGTCGTAACGCGATCACTGCCGTCAGTTCTCTAAGGATCCTGGGACAAAGTGCTGTCTTATATACAAAACGGGCCGGGGAGGGGTAAGGGAGAGGGTAAGGAGGGGCTGGTCAGAGTCAGGTGGTGGATTAGGGTGGAGGAAGAAATACCAATGTTGCTACAGTGAGGGGGAATTTTTCTACGTGTTTGTGCTCACTGTAGTTACGGTAAGATACCTTTTGTTGTTTCCTGTGTAATGTTCTGTTTCACGTAAGCTGCTTAATTGTATGTATTAGTTCATCTTCTGTTATAATGTCTTACCTCCATCACGTGTTATTAATTTCGTGTTGTAATATCGTGATTTTTCTTGGGGTGTGAGTTGTACGTTGCATTTTCGACCAGATCCATCGACCCTCACACACCTCGTAGTTCTTCCCGGGAAATTTCCCTTCGTCATCGACTTATAAACAAGAGCGCTATATATTATACAGTAGTTTTGTATCATCATCATCCTCTTGGAGTGTGTATGTGATGGAAATAATAATGATAAATAGTATTGATATTGAAAATGTCAGCTAGGGATCACCTTCATGGCCTATTATATAAGATGGAGTAGTTTAGTCATCGCTACTAAGTCCTACGCGTACCATACCTCCAGGGGACTCCAGTTAGATGTGGCAAGTGTTAGGAGTCTTCACTTATACAACGTTGTAAAAAAAAAAAAAAAAACTCGCGTGATCCAGTAAACATTGGGTGATGGTTGTTATTCCTTACAACCTTTTATAACCCAACTGTTCTTGTTATTTGTCGGTGTTTTTGTCATTTAACCTTAAGAAATAGTACAGGGATTGTGTAAGGTGTGTGTGTGTGGGGGTAGGTGGGTGGATGGGTGGGGGGGGTTCTCAGAGCGTCACCTGTGTGCACCCGTAACTCTACCTCACCGATTGGGAATTTCCTGTTGATACAAAAGACAACGAGATGTGACCAAATCTTACCTAACTTAACGTAACCTAACCAACCTAACGTAACCCGGTGGTATATATCTGTACTGTACGTATGAGTAATGAGTGTTGGCGTAAAGTTACAAATATTATACATAAAAAAATCTTGGCTTCAAATTTAGCACAACAAAAAAGACAAAATCATATATTATTTCTATTAATATTAAAGGTTACAATACACGATCATCCTTACGTCTTAGGGAGCCACAATACGTAGAGATTTATACAGAGAAAATGGTCAATGTTTTACTGGAGTAACTATTTTAAATTCCTTGATAGTTTTTTTTTAAATACGTATAATGAGCTGTGTTTATAGTCTGTTGTAGGCTTTTATATACTACTACTACTACTACTACTACTACTACTACTACTACTACTACTACTACTACTACTATAATAATAATAACAACAACAACAATAATAATAATAATAATAATAATAACAATAACAACAATAATAACAGCTCAAAGGAACAAAATAAACGCCATTAAAGATTACCAAACACTTTCTTTATTGTTCTTGAAAGTTTAAACAATTCACTTCAGCTGATGTAACACAAACAGATCAGAAGAAATTAAACTAGTGGACAAAACATGACAATATTCCGTACGTCTTCTTGCCCCTGAAGAGACACTATCTGGGGACGTCTGTGAGTGATGGACGAGCGTAGTTGACGTAGATAGTGGTAGAACCCAGTTAATGACGTGGTTGGTGGTAGACTCCAATTGATGACGTAGTTAGTGGTAGAACCCAGTTAATGACGTGGTTGGTGGTAGACTCCAATTGATGACGTAGTTAGTGGTAGAACCCAGTTAATGACGTGGTTGGTGGTAGACTCCAATTGATGACGTAGTTAGTGGTAGAACCCAGTTAATGACGTGGTTGGTGGTAGACTCCAATTGATGACGTAGTTAGTGGTAGAACCCAGTTAATGACGTGGTTGGTGGTAGACTCCAATTGATGACGTAGTTAGTGGTAGAACCCAGTTAATGACGTGGTTGGTGGTAGACTCCAATTGATGACGTAGTTAGTGGTAGAACCCAGTTAATGACGTGGTTGGTGGATAGGCGTAGTTAGTGGAGGAGACAGAACCGTGGTAACAGGTAGAAATGGTTGATAGTTTACCTTAACCGTACAGGTAACCACCACCATAACCACTACCATAACCACCACCATACCCACCACCATACCCACCACCATACCCACCGCCATACCCACCGCCATGACCACCGCCATGACCACCACCATACCCACCGCCATGACCACCGCCATGACCACCACCATACCCACCGCCATGACCACCACCATGACCACCGCCATAACCACCATGACTACCACCACCATAGCCTCCTCCTCCACCATACAGTCCTCCTCCACCATACAGTCCTCCTCCGCCATAAAGTCCAATCCCTTTGGACTTGCCGAGGAAGCCAGGGTCAGCCACAGCGCCAGGCAGAGGGGCGGGGCGAGGGAGAGCGAGGGAAGAACTCACCAACACATACATGGCTACACACACCACTATCTGTTGAGGTGATAACGAGTATGATAATAATAATAATAATAATAATAATAATAATAATAATAATAATAATAATAATAGCAACAGTAATCATAAAAATAATAATAGCAAGCATAACTAACTACCATGACTAAAACCACTTCCGGCTATTACGCACACACACACACACACACACACACACACACACACACACACACACACACTTTAAAACACTCTTTAGTAACGACGTTTATCTTTAACTATGCCCCCCCCAAAAAAAATTCTAGTTTATGTTAATTTTTGTCATTAGACCTCGACTGCGAAGAGATAACGAAATACTGTAAGCAAAAGAATCTATCAACTCTTAGTAACTCTAATTCATTTTCGTCATATTCGCTAAGTTCTAATGGTTTTTTTTTGGGGGGGGGGGTGGGGATTTTTTTTCATGTACAGTTAGGTTAGTTTGGTTAGGTTAGGTTAGGGTGAGTTGGTTTAGATTAGGTTAGGGTGGGTTAGTTTCGGTTAGATTACCTTAAATCAGATTAGGGTAAGTTAGGTTAGAGTAGTATAAGGTTAAGTTAGCATTAAAGTGATTAATCTTAAGGTAAAATAAGCTAGGGGTCTAAGCTTCATGTAATCTAACTACCGTATTTATTTATCTAAGTTACATATTCAAAGAACTTAATGTTTAGTGTCCAATCATATCATCAACATTACTTTAAAACAAAAAACACAAACAAAACGAAAGCGAGTTAAAAAAAAATAAACAGTAGCTTCGTTAGATCAAAACAAACATCTCATCCACACATACAAAATTCTTCCATCAGTTTGGTTGGTAATGACTCGTTTGGGTAAAATATCTCAGCGTACCTTCACCCAGCACCACATCCGGCCTTAACGAATATATTTACTTTACAGCCTCATAAATTTTTATGGTTAAACGACGTGGAAAGTGAGAATTATTATTTTGTTTATTTATCCATCTCTCAGCATCTCCCGTCATCGGTCATCTATCTCTCAGCATCTCCCGTCACCGGTCATCTATCTCTCAGCATCTCCCGTCATCGGTCATCTATCTCTCAGGATCTCCCGTCATCGGTCATCCATCTCTCAGCATCTCCCGTCATCGGTCATCTATCTCTCAGCATCTCCCGTCACCGGTCATCTATCTCTCAGCATCTCCCGTCATCGGTCATCTATCTCTCAGCATCTCCCGTCATCGGTCATCTATCTCTCAGCATCTCCCGTCATCGGTCATCTATCTCTCAGCATCTCCCGTCATCGGTCATCTATCTCTCAGCATCTCCCGTCATCGGTATCACGAGTGTCTCATAATACACACCGCCATATAGATTTTATCATGAGGATAGATTAGTGTATGTTAAGTAGCTTCATTTTTATCACTTGTAATACACCATCCATATACAACTTAAGTCAAGGTTACTATTATACTACAAGCATTTACAAGGTAGTGGGGTAAACTTTTTCTGAGCCACACTGTTGTTTACTATAAGCATTTACAAGGTAGTGGGGTAAACTTTTTCTGAGCCACACTGTTGTTTACTATAAGCATTTACAAGATAGTGGGGTAAACTTTTTCTGAGCCACACTGTTGTTTACTATAAGCATTTACAAGGTAGTGGGGTAAACTTTTTCTGAGCCACACTGTTGTTTACTATAAGCATTTACAAGATAGTGGGGTAAACTTTTTTTGAGCCACACTGTTGTTTACTATAAGCATTTACAAGGTTGTAGGGTAAACTTTTTTCTGAGCCACACTGTTACTTTTTTTCTGGGCCACATTGTTGTCTCACTCGATTGTTCTGATTTTATTAATTTTTAACCAAGTGTAATTCCTTCACGTAATTGAACTGTTATGTTTTTTGTGTCGCAATAGATCCTCAGGTGGTAGCTTGTGTGTGTGTCATCAATGGAATTTAATATTAATAAAATGTTATTGTGGTGTGAAATATGTTTACTTGATGGTTGTGATCAGTATATGAGAGAGAGAGAGAGAGAGAGAGAGAGAGAGAGAGAGAGAGAGAGAGAGAGAGAGTAGTCACCTGAACAGACCCAAATCACCACCTACCTGTTACAAGGGGGGAGGGAGGGTAGCTTCACCCCCCCCTCCTCCACCCCCTTTTAGTCGCCTATAACCCCCAACAACCATCACACACACACTTTAAAAATCTTATCCGATATTAACAACATAACAAAAAAACAAACAAAAAAACACGAACCACTGTATTTTGAAACCTTAAAGGCGGTAATTCCTGGGTTATTGATTGGTGTTCTCAATGTTATTATCGACACGTTCCGATATCGCTAAGGTTACTAATGCTCGTCAGGTATAAGAGTACATGTTTAGCATCACTACAGCTGCTGTGGTGGGGAATTTGCTATGTTATTGTTGTTGTTGTCTGTTATGTTATTGTTGTTATTGTTGTGTTATGTTGTTGTTATTGTTCAATGTTATGTGTTATTCTTTTGTGTTATGTTGTTGTTATTGTTCTTTGTTATATATTCGAGAACCTATCTGGCACTATGATTGAAAAATTGCTGAACTATTGTTAATGTTCTATGTTATACATTATATCAGTATTTATATTGTTCTTTGCTATATTTTAGAAAACTATTGCTCGTGTTCTCTGTTATGTTTTTTTAGAGAACTTATCTGAAATAGGTGTCAAAAACCAGGGTCTTTAAGTCGAGTTTACTAGGTCTTAATTTCAGGTCTTTAAAACAACAAGGTAAATATTTCACGGAGGTACTTACTCTCTTCATGTTGATGTCGGAAGCTGAAGATTCTACCACTACCAAAGACGATGCGCGTGTTGACTACGAGGAGAAAGACCCCTGCCTTTTATACGAGCGTGGGAGAGGGGAGGGGGTAGGTGAGAGAAAGGACAAGGGGGGGGTGGAGAGAAAGGAGAGGATGGAGGTGAGGAGAGAAAGAAGGGGGTTGGGGAGGGAGGACAGTGGTAGTGGTAAGAGGAGATAATGAGGTTGATGGAATACAGTGATTATAATAGTAAGATGACCCCTTGTTGGTTCCTGGTTCCATGCTTGTTGTCCTTTCACTCAGGTGTTAAGTGCTTGCCCGTGGGTGAGTGTTGCAGGTCCTTTCACCCCTCTTCTCCCTCCATTACGCCTACTCCCTCCATTACGCCTACTCCCTCCGTTACCCCCACTCCCTCCATTACCCCTTCCCCTCTCCATTACCCCCACTCCCTCCGTTACCTCCCCTCCCTCCTGTTACCCCCACCTCCGTTACCCCCACCTCCCTCACTCCCTCCACCCACTCCGTCCCCCCCCACCTCCGTTACCCCACTCCCTCCATTACCCCCCCCCCCCGTTACCCCCACTCCTCTCCCCACCTCCCTCCGTTACCCCCCTCCCCTCTGTTACCCCCCACTCTCCGTTACCCCCACTCCTCCGTTACCCCACTCCCTCCGTTACCCCCCACTCCCTCCATTACGCCTACGCCGTCCGTTACCCCCACTCCTCCGTTACCCCCACTCCCATCCTCCCCCTACCTCCCTTCCCCCTCCTGCCTGGTAATCATGTTACACGGGAGTGCAGACCAACACGGGCGGGCGAGACAGTCAAGGGCGTCGCAAAGCTCTCAAGGCAATGACCGTCTCCTCAACGCAGTGCCGGGTTTTTCCTGGCCAGAAGAAACATTACCCCCCTCTCTCTCCTCCTCCACCCCTTCCTGATGGGGGCTGTTCAGATTCACCTGATGTGCTATGCCTAGAGGTGGGCAGAAGGGGGTGAGGTGAGGGCGTTGTTTCTTCCTGGGTTACCACAAGCAGGTGTTTCATACTCCCAAGTGCGTGTTTATATCAAGAGCTTTCCACCTGCCGCCACACCTGTACACTGTTGGTAGGGTGATTTAACCTCGCCTCAGGTCAATTGTGTTGTGTGGAGAGGAGATATAGTCAACATGAGGTGATATAATGGGATAAAATTTGAGGAAAGGTATATCGAAAGGTGAGAGGGTCTGTGAGGAAGGTGACCATGGGGTGGACCCAGTCATTGACCCGCTCGACCGACGCCACACGAAGACGTACCACACCACAGTACCCTGACACTAACACAACACAACACAACACAACACAACACAAATATTCATCCAGTGTGCGGTATATCAAGAAAAATCTGAATAAATGAAACATAAGAATAAATTTCCCCAAATGTTGAATAAATCATAAATGAACAAATAAATGGTATTATGAACATTGAACATAGTATAGGACTCGAGGTGAACCTTTTGAGTATGATGATCTAAACTCTCACCCTGTTTGGAGTTATACCTTGAAGAAAGTGTTATAAATATTATATTATTAATTTAATCCTCACATCTAATATACTTTGAACATATATTTATGCAACACACTCTCAACACACCCTCAACACACCCTCAACACACCCTCAACACACTTTCAACACACCCTCAACACACCCTCAACACACCCTCAACACACCTTCAACACACCTCAACACACTCCTCAACACACTTTCAACACACCCCAACACACCCTCAACACACTTTCAACACACCTCAACACACCCTCAACACACCCTCAACACACTTTCAATACATCCTCAACACACCCTCAACACACCTCAACACACTTTCAACACACCCTCAACAAACCCCCAACACACTTTCAACACACCCTAAACACCCCAACACACCCTCAACACACCTCAACACACCTCAACACACTTTCAATACATCCTCAGCACACCAACACACCTCAACACACTTTCAATACATCCTCAGCACACCCTCAACACACTTTCAACAAACCCTCAACACACTTTCAACAAACCCTCAACATACTTTCAACACACCCTCAACACACCCTCAACACACTTTCAACACACCCTAAACACCTCAACACACCCTCAACACACCCTCAACACACCCTCAACACACCCTCAACACACCCTCAACACACCCTCAACACACCTGGGCGTAGACTACAACACACCGTCACGGCTCAGAGGGTGGCCGGAGGCAGTCAGGAAACAGTGTAATTTATAACGTTTGTTTGTATGTCCTTTTACCTCGAAGATGCTAGTCCTGCGTGAACATTTGTGGGAGGATATGAGTACTACCTAACCTAACCTAACCTAACCTAACCTGACCTGACCTAACCTAACCTACCTAACCTAACCTACCTAACCTACCTAACCTAACCTACTTAACCTACTTAACCTAACTTAACCCACCCAACCCAACCCACCTAACCTAACCTACTTAACCTCCTAACCCAACCTACTTAACCTACCCAACCTAACCCAACCTACCCAACCCAACCTACCTAACCTAATCTGACCTAACCCAATCCCAACCTACCTAACCTACTCAACCTAACCTACTTAACCTACCTAACCTAACCTAACCTAACTCCTACCTAACCTAACCTACCTAACCTACCTAACCTATCCTACTTTAACCTTCTTAACCTAACCCACTAACCTAACCTAACTCTAACCTAATCCCATGCCTAACCTTAACCTAACCTAACCTGAATTGAAACCTTTATAATCTTAGAGTTCAAGCTTAGGTTGAAGTTAGGTAGGCTTAGGTTGTCAGGTTAGGTTGGTTCGTTCAAGCTGTTTCAAAAATTGCCCTGAGGGTTGATGGCTGCGAGGATCATGCGGTCAGTTACCTTTGAGGACGGTGGTTATAACCCTTTGAGGATGGTGGTTATAACCCTTTGAGGATGGTGGTTATAACTCTTTGAGGACGGTGGTTATAACCCTTTGAGGATGGTGGTTATAACCCTTTGAGGGTGGTGGTTATAACCCTTTGAGGGTGGTGGTTATAACTCTTTGAGGGTGGTGGTTATAACCCTTTGAGGACGGAGATTATAACCCTTTGAGGACGGTGGTTATAACCCTTTGAGGACGGTGGTTATAACCCTTTAAGGACGTTGGTTATAACCCTTTGAGGACGGTGGTTATAACCCTTTGAGGACGGTGGTTATAACCCTTTAAGGACGGTGGTTATAACCCTTTGAGGACGGTGGTTATAACCCTTTAAGGACGGTGGTTATAACCCTTTGAGGACGGTGGTTATAACCCTTTAACATCTTCAACAACAATCATATAATTTTATTGATGTTAATAAATATAGTTCCATTAACGAGGCATTTTGTGTATTTCTTTAACATTCTTGATATATTCTTGATAAAATAAACTATTAGAATGATTATTACCACGTGTTCATCCCATAGTAATTAAGTATCTGTTTTTCAGTACTAAATCTGATATCATAATTTCTTTTTAGATTAAATTCAGTTTTTATCAAGTGCCCTCAAAAGTGCGTCCCGGCTCTTACTATAGGATATGTTAATATTGTTAGTGATTATGTAATATGTTATTTTTCTTATGGTTAAATAATCTTGTTTCAGTTTTAATTTTTTCTGGTTAAATAATCTGGTTGTGTTAATTTTTTCTGGTTAAATAATCTGGTTATGTTAATTTTTTCTGGTTAAATAATCTGGTTGTGTTAATTTTTTCTGGTTAAATAATCTGGTTGTGTTAATTTTTTCTGGTTAAATAATCTGGTTGTGTTAATTTTTTCTGGTTAAATAATCTGGTTGTGTTAATTTTTTCTCGTTAAATAATGTTTCAATTTAATTTTTTTCTGGTTAAATAATCTATTTCAATGTTAATTTTTTTCAGTTTTTACGTTCTTATTGTGTATTCAGGCGCATAAGTGAAAAATCTCCAGCCAGGATTTATCTATATCAGCTTCCCGGCCACTCGAAAAAACAAAAACAAAAACATGTTCACCTAACTCGTTTAGCTGGCCACTCAGTGAGGATGCCGATAGTCTTTTTTTTTTGTTATTGGCCACTCAGAGAGGATTATGTACAAGTTGCGTTGCTGGCCACGAGAGGTAATGTTAGAAATGTTCTTTGTTGGGGTCTCTCGGAGGGCACATGGAGAGTCTTAACTATTTCGTTGTTTATTGTTGCTCCTGAAGTCAGATTACCTGGAGA